GATATGTAGATTGACAGTAAACAGAGAAAAAAACTTTTTAAAATGCTATGTTATATGATCAGGTAATGTCACAATTGTGAGATCGTATTTAGTTATTATGTAAATGCTTTAAAATGGTATTTCTATTTCTTAGATCCCATATCATACATATTTTTCATCAATGTTTGAAAGAGAACGTATCTATCATTCGTATCATATGTATATATATTTTATGGATTTTGATATTTGTCCTTCCTGATCAGAGGCTTGTAACATTTCATATAACTTGAATTTCTTCAGGTGAATGCCAGTGAATTTGTATTTTAGTTTATTTATAAGCCCTCTGAATTATTATGTGTCTTATGTTTTTTATCATAATACAAACTTATTTAATGGCTCAGTTTCTGGAATCCCATTAATAAAATATAAATGATGAGTTTAATTTGCAGTACATTAATGAAGTACTTCAGTGCATTACCTTCTGATATCTTTTTAAAGAAATCTAAATTTTTTTTTTAACTCATCATTATTATGAAACCTGTAAAAGTCAGGTCAGATGTATTTGCATATGTTTTCTTTTAGTTTTTAATCACTTTGAGAGACTGCTAAATATTCCTCCAGAGAATATCCAAAGAAAAGAAGAAAACGAGGTCTGCTTTAAACGAATTCTGCGTAGTATATCGAGTTGTCTTTTAACTTGACCATCTTGGAACTGTCATGGAACTCATTGCTCTTTCATCTTCAGAAACCAATGATGCAATAGCAACATTTGCTTTCCACTTGCAATCTTCTATTCTCAGTTAGCCTAAAATGAAGTCAAGAGGATTGGATTTTCTAAGACTAGCAGTAGCCAGAAGTAAATACAGTGTGCTGCTTATTGTGTCAGATTCCAAAACCCAAAACATCAAAATAACTTTGAAACTTCTTATTAGCAATTTCCAAAACGTTGGAGGGTTCTATAAGTGTGGTTGAACAGCTATGTTTTCCATTGTGCAAATTGTGTGTATTCATTTAATAACCACAAAATGGGACACGAAATATGTTTTGCATTCATTTTTAATAATTCCAATTTGAATAACTATCAACTGAAATATTCATTATTATCTGCTGGTGCTGTTCTAAGCATTTTACATCTTTTTCTTTTTTTTTCTTCCTGACAGCTCTGTGAAGTGACTATTATTATTATATTAGGTGTCACAATTTACAAGTTAGGAAACAGAAGACAAAGAGATGTGCAGTAACTTAGGAAGAACTAATACATAGGGAGAAATATATAATGAAGAACCTTGAATTATTCTTAAGAGTTCTCTTTATTAGGTGTTTCTTTACTCACTCAGAAAATGTTTATTTAGTGCTAACTGTGTGCCGGCACTATGCTAAGAGCAAGAGGCAGAAATAAAAATGCAATGCATGATCCTCTACAATATATAAACATCTAGAGAAACCATTTACATAAAGGAACAGAAACTCAAATTCACATGTGCATTAAGTAATTGCTTTATTAATTTAATAATGTTTACTGAGTGCCTGCTCCACACAAGGTATTGCCTAGCAAATACTGTCATTTTGCCAAAAGTTTGCAGTTCTTAATAATGTTTCTGCTGTTGGAAAACTAATCAGCGTCTCTTATATAACCTGGTTGAAATGCTATAGACATTCGCATTCCTCTGCCTACAGATAAGCTTCTGTTATAATATTTATAGCAATGGATAAAAGAAGGTAAATACTGAGGAAGATTAGGAGGAAAGAAACCTGGAGAACCACATATACTCTATTAGTTTAGACCTAGTTCTTTATGTAAGAAATACTGAGTGTTTCATTTTTCTTTTCTCTTCTTTGGAAGATGGCTGCATTTGTTTGTACAAAAATGGACATTTCTTGAACATAGCATGTATTTTTTATGGCCTATGGGTGGGGCAGGGAATGCAGTGGAAAAAATGCTTTCCTTGAGGTCCGTCACATAGATGTGGCATCAAGTCCTTAGTCTATCACTTGCCAGATGTGTGATTTTTAGCAAGGTCCTTAATCTCTGAATCTCAGTTTTCTCAACGATGAGTTAACGACAAAAGTAACTAACTTGCAGGATCAGGGCTCATTATTTCAAATAATGTATATAAATACTGTTCACCTATAAAATGATTGTTGTGAAGATTAAATGAGATAATGAAAGTGAAGTGCTTAATCGACTTCCTAGTAAAATGAATAACAACACTCAATAAATAACTGCATTTATTTTAATTGCTATCATTATCTTTTTCATTTGCTAGACAAGTGGTTCTCAGTGTTTTTATGTGTCATCTACAATAGAATTATCTGGAATGCTTATCAAAAAGAAAATCAGATACCACGCCAATTCCTGATTAGCTAAATAAGAATCTCTACTGGTTTCTTGGGCATCTTAAACCCAGTGTCCTTGAAGTAGAGGCTTTAGCTCTTTGTAGAAAGGGATGGCGTCTAGTTAACAAAGTGCCTAGCATATACCACCAACTAACGCAATAAATGGCAGTTGCTATTTTGCAACATGCTGCTGGTTACTATCTTGGAAAACCATGGAGAATCTTGGTTAGGAGCAACTTCATGGGACATGATTACCATCTTTTTTCATAAACACCTTTTTTCATGTTTATATAATAAAAAAATTTACAGTGCATTTCTCAGTACTTGGTTTGATTTTAGGAGCTGTAGTCCTTTTGTTGTTTTAAACTGGTTTATCAAAGGTAGGATTGTCATTGTCTCTGAACTATTTCATAACTGAGAGGTATGGATAAAGAACTGATAAGAAATTGGATTACACTTGACATGGAGCCTCAGACTGAGTATTTTGTCACCACATTAGGAAACTTGAAATCATAGGAAAAGTACAGTTATCCTATGGGATAGGCATCTCACTTCTCAGGATTGGGTAGAGAATTTTAGAGGGAAGTGAGGGGCTCTTTTCTGAGAATTTGCCTACTATTCAATTCACTTAATACCTGGAATGTATGTTGAAATCATGAGTCTGAAATTTACTTTTATTTATTTATTTATATATATTTTTAGAGACAGCGTCTCACTCTGTCACCCAGGCCGGAGTGCAGTGGTGCCATTATAGCTCACTGCAACCTCAAATGCCTGAACTTAATCCTCCCACCTCAGTCTCCCAAGTAGGTAGGACTATAGACATGCACTACTATGCCTGGCCAATTTTTTATCATTTTTTTCACAGAAACAGAGTCTCACTATGTTGCCCAGGATGGTTTGAGCTCCTGGCCTCAAGTGATCCTACTACGCTGGCCTCCCAAAGTGCTGGGATTACAGGCATGAGCCACTGTGCCTTGCCCTGAAATTTACTTTTAAATGAAAGTTACATAAAAAAGACTTTCTACCAAAGCAAATGGCTCTTCATTAGATCATACTAATAAAATATTGCTGGTGTATAATCAATTAAAACTCTACAATTTGGATTTCAATATAGTTTGTGGTGTTTGCAAGTAAAGAAGCCTTTTGAAAGTCGTTAACTATATCCAGAGGCCTTCGGTTGTGGTATTAGAATTTCAAATGCTCTATAACTCTTCCAAAAAACTGTAGTTCTGCATCAGATAAAGTGGCTACTCTTATGAAAAAAAGGGAACTGTAGATTTCTAGAAGAGCTAAACCATACAGCTTGAGCTGTGCTGTTTGATGTAGATTCTGCAATTGAAGGTATCCTAGTTCTTTGAAAAAAAAAAAAAACCATTTTTTTCTACCTTATTTTAAAGATTGAACTCCCTCTCTTTGGAGGAAGGAGAGGTGGTTTGTTGAAAATCATCTGGGGCTAAGAGTCAAAGATTGGTATTCTTGACGTCCCTGTCACACTGACTAGTCATATGTCAAAAGGCAAAGAATTTAAGCAGTCTTTTAAATTTGTTGGGTTGTTTTTGGAAATGGCAGAGCAATATCCATCTTGCCTGTCTCCCAGACTTGTAAAAATCAACTATCCAGATGCAAAAGTTCTTTGAAAAGATGAATGTGATATCTCTTCACATGAAATGTGGTATATGCTTTTTATTTGGGGTTTTTTTGGAGGGTGGGTGAATTTATAAGATATTATTAATATTCACTGGATTTTGTGGCATACATCCCTGTATAGCACTGTTTACAATCTAATATGTGCTTATTCATTGCTGTTACATGTTTTCTTACTAGCTAGGATTATATGTATGCTCATTTCTTAAGATTGTACTCCACCCTGTGAATTGAGAGTATCATTAATAACAGAGAATATGTCTTTGTTATACAGAATCTCATCCCCAGCAACTGTGCCCTGATATGCGTAGTAGGTGTTTAATAAATAGTTGTGGAATGAATGGAAGCATGCCTCCAAAATGCACTGTGCATGTCCAATGTACACTATGCAGTTATATCTACTCCTCAAAGCGATTGAAGTTAATGTTGTTTTGAACTTTTCTGTGGAAGATTTTCTTTGAAATTAAATATGTTACAAAGTCAAATTTCAAAATCAACTACATGAATATTGAACAGATGATTCTTCGTAATCACTTCTGGCTTGAAATTCAAATGTAATTCATATGCTTTATATTGGGGGAGAATTTGTTAATATTCAGCATTATACTAATAGTTTAAATTATTGTTCTCTTATTTTATCTTCTCATAAAGTAAAACTAGGGTTATGTGATGATGTTATATGATAATGTGGTAATGTTTGACAGAATGGGATTCATAATCAGATAAACCTGGGTTTAAGTCCCAACTATACCACTTCCTAGTTGCAAGAGAGTCTATACTGTTAATTTCTCTAAGCTTTTGTAAGTCTAATATAGGCCTCATTATACCACCCTAATGAGATCGTCATGAGGATAAAATACAGTAATAGACTTGAAATGTTTGTATGATACCAAACACATAACAGCCTTTAGCTATATCTTTATATTATTTATATAGTTCATCTTCTAAACAGGTTTCTTTTTTCTGTTTTGTCTGTTTTTTTGTTTTGTTTTGTTTTCTGTATTTGTGTGTGTGCGTGTGTATGTTTCCTTTCACAGATGGATACACAACTGATGACATTGAATTTTACTGGCGTGGCGATGATAATGCAGTAACAGGAGTAACGAAAATTGAACTTCCACAGTTCTCTATTGTAGATTACAAACTTATCACCAAGAAGGTTGTTTTTTCCACAGGTTTGTATCATGGAAAAGTGTTAAGGGAAAATAATCTTCACCATGTTTTGTTAAACGTGTTCACTTATATTAGAGTTATGTCCCAGGGAAGCACAACGACTTTAGAAGACAAATCCACTGAAAACCCTCAGTTTCCCATGAAGCGTATTGCTCCACTAGGGACCCATAGTATGACTTTCCAGAAGCCACCCCAGCAGAGCTGAGAGGATCATCTCAGTGTATTTCATTTGCTACAGAAGCAACTAATTTTTAGAAAGAATACAGGAAGAGAAAGAGGAAGACCTGACTCAGAGCTCTTCCCCAACATTATAACATTATGCTTCCCACAGAATTGATCATAATCCCTTGAATCACTGGGAGAGCCAAATTGTGGTTCATTCAAGTCTGATCACATGAAATTCTCCAAAGACAATGGGAGGAATTAATGTTTTCTTCAAAGGATTTCTTTGCACAGTTTTACCTCCTTTGTGAACAGAAAGCTGTTTCAGGTGTTAAGATTATCCCGAGGCCTTTGCCATCTTTATCCTTCCAGTATGGAGATTTTAGATGGTCATACTTGATTTCATCAGCAAAATTTTTGCATTTTTGTAGCAATAAAGCTGAGGAAAGTAATCATTTGGTAGACACTCATTTAGGCAAAAATATTAAACCCACAGAGGTATGCTTCTTTATATTTTTCTTATTGAAATAAACCCCACAGGCACAGAAATAACTAATACTGTAATGGCTCTTCTGCTAAGAAGTCAGATACTTTGTGTGCCTGCAAACCACTTCAGGCAAAAGCTGTGTGACTTATTAAAAATACAAAGTTGCCTTTAACTTTAAAACAACAACAAGAAATAGAAACTTTTCCTAAGTTTGAGGTCTGCTGAATTCCTAAAAATCTATGAAAATGAGTTCCTACTTAGAATATTCTTACTATCATATTCAGACACTTAGCCTAGCCCTCCAAAAACTAAACAAGGCTTTCTTCCAAACAATGAGAATATCCTCTCCCTGGCTACTTATCATGTGAACTTCCTATAGTCTAAGACTGTGCTCTGTTAGTTATCTTGTTTTATTAAAGGGTAATTCCCCAGGTCATCACCATCAAAGGACCCAGATTTAGGAAGCTGATTCTTTAGTTGTATCTCCCATAAATATTGTTCAAAAGCAATGATTCTCCACCTTTTGGTGGGTCAGGTGTACTTTTAGAACTCCAATGGAAGCAATGAAACTATTATAAAAGAAAAGAATGCATATACGTGAAAACCTACAAAAACCCACATTCCCTGAAACATCACCACTGATCACAGACTTAAACTGCAATCTGTGGCTTGAGAAGAGTTTTCTTTTACTATGACCAGAACATGCAGCCTCACTCTCATGTAAGACTATCTTAAAGGATGAACTTACTAAGAAACAATTGAAAGCGTGAAGAAAAAGACTGTCTCAAATTGCCCTAACAATTACAGAGGAGGACCATGTTTGATTCACTCTATGAGGCTGAGTAGGGAAGAGCTGGAATTCTTTTAATTACTGATGAGTACAGGATGCTTTCCACACTAAGTAACTCCTGGTAATTAGAAACTCAGGGCTCTCAGACTACTTTTGCAGAAGAAAGTGTCCTTCACCAAGAGCTAAATCTGAATTGAGAGACGATGTACTGTTTATGGACCGTTAAAGAAAAGTATCTTATAAATATTGATTGATAATGATGATGTTCTAAAATTGCCTTTCTAGGTTCCTATCCCAGGTTATCCCTCAGCTTTAAGCTTAAGAGAAACATTGGCTACTTTATCCTGCAAACATACATGCCTTCCATCCTGATTACCATCCTCTCCTGGGTCTCCTTCTGGATTAACTACGATGCTTCAGCTGCAAGGGTGGCATTAGGTAGGTCATTTTATTACTGCTTGTGGACTTTGACTCTGTGTGTACATGTCTGCGTTTGCATGCACGCGTTTTCCTTATCCTGAAATTTGTGATGCATGATGAACTGAACCTCTCACACTGCAAGAGTTTAGCTATGAGACTTTGGGTGATCTGATTCAGCATTAAATTAATTAAACATGAAGTAAAGCTCTTTCAGGTCATTATTAGTTAACCGTATAGCTGTTGATAATGAGATTAGTCCCATCAGTTTGATATTTTTATTGAAACATATTTCATGTAATGTTGCTTGCATAATTGTTCAATTTGTGTCTGTGCTTCTTTACCTAAGAAGAGTTCCCTTCCACCTTTTTTTCCTGCATGAAAGACGAGACAATGTGGTGTGTAGCAAATGGATAAACAGAAAGAATTCTAAAGTCTTATTAACATTTCAGAGTAGCATGGCTAAGGCAGGAGACAACAAAGTAAGAATATTGAGAAGTAATCTGTGGCATCTCTCATCTTATGCTTGATTTTTTTTTTCTAACAAATACAAGAGGAGAATAAATTACATTTCATAAACATTTTTGTTATTAACTTCAGATAAAGTAAATTAATGGCCTTTTACACAATCTTGTTTATTGTGGATTCTGACTATTCCCTTTAAAATGTTGAATTGTTCACTTTTACCATGAGACCTCAATTCAATCATTACTTTCTTAGAAGAGCCACTCATTTATTATTCAACAAATAATTGTTAAATACCTAACATATGCTAATTGTACTAAGCACTGGAGATACATCAGTCTTCTGAAAGTTATATCTAGCAGTAAAAGATATACAATAAATTTAATAACCACATAAATTATACAATATGGTAAATCTATAGAAGGATATAAAGCAAGGGGGCATGGGTTTGCTAGGAGTTCAGTTTAGAATAATTAGGGCCGACTTCACTCAGAAGTTGTCATTGGAACTAAGACTTGAAGATTAAGAGCAATGTGGATATCTGGGTGATAATATTCCAGATGACTGCAAAGGCCCTGGGTGGGAGCAATCCAAGAGTGTCAGCAGGAGGCTTATGAGGCCAGGTGAGTTCAGGGGAAGTAGCAAAGACGATGTTAGTGAAAGGGGCCTAAAAGATCACAAAAGGGCTGTCACAAAGGGATGGTAGGCCACGGCAAAGTTTTGCTTTTATTTTGAATGAAATAGCCATTGAATGAGCATAAAAGTGGCATGATTTGATTTCTGTTTTAAAGGGATCACTTCAGCTATGGTGTTAAAATTAAATTATGTGGCTCAACGATGGAAGGAAGGAGAAGGAATGACCTCTCAGGCTGAGTCAAGCATCTGTGATATATACACTTGCAGTGCCATAGACCTCCCCTGTGTTGAGACTAACCACAGTTATAACTTATGTTTACTTAGTTGTGTGATGTCCTTTTCCCCTTCAGCAATGAAAGATCCATGGAAGAAAGGTCCATATCTAGTTTTATATCTGCAGTGTCTTGCATGGGGAATGGTGCTCAGTAAACAGTTGCGGAATGAAAGAATGAATAAAATTTGCAAATATCCCATTTTTCCAAAGTTGAAACCTGCCTTTTTTGTATCTATTACAGGAAGAATAAATAATTTATTAAGTTTTTAGAAGACATTTTTAAAATGTCTTTATGTGAGCAATTTTTTACTAGGTTCAGAAATACTTTAAAAATGAGATTTAGATAAATAGTAAAATCAGCAATGTCAGTTTTATTATATACATATGATACAGGATCATCCGTAGTTGAAATGATGAAGAGAAAATTGAAACTGGAAAATGTCTCAAAATGATGGCTATACAGAAGACATGAGAAATGTAAGATACCTGTATCTAAAGCAAGACCAAGGTTTTATGGGTGTGCTCTGAATCAAATGCTCAGATTTATTTTTTCTGTAGCTGTTCCTTGGTGGAGTATAAAAATAAAATGGAAACTATGACATTATTACTAGTGAGATAAAATTAAATCAGAAAACTATGTCCCCCAAAAATCATAGGAATGAAATTTAACTTTCGCACGTGTTATTGGATAGTGTTTAAGGGCCTGGATTCCTGAGTCAGAAAGATTCTCATTCCAGTGGCAACTCTACGACTTTCCATTTGTGTGATCTTGACCTCTGATCTTTGTCTATTTTCACGTCACCATTTTGCTACAAAGCTGGACTTTATCATACTCAGGACCTTGGACTTTCAGTGCATTTACCTTCCAATTACAGCTTAGAGGGAAACTACTTCCCACTGTCAGAGATACCAACTCAACAGGATGAACAATTACAGTCTGACCCAGTGTCACATTTTCCATAAGGAGTCCTGGAATGCATCTGTGTTATTTATCTGGGCATTATATACCTAATTGTCCGGTCCATATACCTGAGGACTATGATTCCTGCTTCTCTGTTACCCTCCACTTCTAATTCCCAAATGTTTATAATCATTTATTTATATTGCCTGTATAATGTATTCTTTAATTTCAATACCCTTGTTGTTATTTTAATTGACTTCACTTTCATTATTCAGTTGAATTAGTCTGAAAACCTCTTAACTGGCATTCTTTACTCCTGCCATGCCTGCTTCTCCCCATCCTCCACACTGCCACCACAGTGATTGTTCTAAAAGCAAATTGCCCCCTTGCTTGAAGCTGGCCCCTGCTCCACATTGCCTTTAATTGTAAGTTCAAACTCCCCCATTAGGCTCTCTGTATGGCTCATAACCTCCACTCTTCTCACGATTCTTCCCATCCTGTCCTGCACTGTACCCACAATGATTTTCCTGAGATCATGGTAATGGGCTGTGTACTCTCCCCGAAATCCAACCTTGATATAAAAGCTCTCTCTACCAGCAGTCCCCGTAAGTCAAACATGACTTTTGACCCCCAGTTCTGGGTTGCCTGAGTGACTTCCACTCATTCTTCAGAAATCAACTTAAAAGTCTCTATTTCCTAACCTTGTCCCTGCCACATCAGAAATTTGACCTAGAGTCCTCTCCATATTCTCAACTCTCACCTTACACATGTGCCCATCATAGCATTTAATTCATTTAAACCCCCACTAGATATATAACTATGAATACAAAGATTTAATTAAAAGAAGTGATCAAAATGTTCAGTGATCACTGTAAGTTAATTTGTTCCTATCTCCATACCCTATCACATGGCTGGCATAAAATAATAAGGGCCTAATAAATAGGCTGTGGCATATATGAATGAGAAAATTAATATAGATCACCTTTCCAGCTATTATGAAAGAAGAAAGGAGATAGGAACATTATTACTCTAACTCTCCCATTTTTTTTCAGGAATCACAACTGTCCTCACAATGACCACAATCAACACCCACCTCCGGGAAACTCTCCCTAAAATCCCCTATGTGAAGGCCATTGACATGTACCTGATGGGGTGCTTTGTTTTCGTTTTCATGGCCCTTCTGGAATATGCTTTAGTCAACTACATCTTCTTTGGGAGGGGGCCCCAACGCCAAAAGAAAGCAGCTGAGAAGGCTGCCAGTGCCAACAATGAGAAGATGCGCCTGGACGTCAACAAGGTAAATTCAAAGGGCACGCCCTCCTTGCTTCTTAAACTCATGGAAGAATGCTAGCAATACAGGTTGATGACTTTGTTGAGCAAATGAGGAAACCAAGCCCAGGGAAGAGAATGGGTAATTTTCCCCAAATCTCACAAACAATGAATTATGGAAGCACAATTACAGACCAAACTCATGACACAAGATTGGGATGCCCTTTTCATTAACAGGAGGAGTGCTCAAAGATGAGAAGACCTTTATGATTTTTTCCCACATATGAGTATAGTACCTGTAATTATTTATGCTTTCTTCAAATTTATTCACCTAATTTATTTAAAAAGGAAATTTAATGTCACTTCAGTCAGTATTACTTACTGGACAATAGCTTTATATATATATATAACAAATTTAAAAAACTATATCATTAACTTCTAATTTATACTAGATGAAGTCTCCGATCCTTAAATCTGCATTCTCTTTTACTTAAAGGAAAGCTAAGCAAGTATAGAGATGTGTTACAGACCAACCAAGCAACAAACTGAGACTCTCTCTTGGAAGTAATCAGAAGAATATAAGAAGAGTAGGGGGGAAAAGACAAATAATTTTCTCCTTAAATGATAATGCCTTGCACATATACCACTTACCATTGCAGCATTTGACTATATGAGGCCAACATCTTGCTTAAGTCAGACATGGTCAAATAATTCCCACAAAACTGTAAACCCTGTTTATTTGTTAAGTCAGTATTTTTCAATCATGGGTGCCAATGGAATGACCTGCACAGATTGAAAAAAAAAAATACTGAAGCCTTGGTCCCTTCCCCAGAAATTCTGATTTGATTTTCTTGGAGAAACCATGGGCATCATAATTTTTAAAAGTTCCCTAGGTTATTCTAATCTGCATCCAAATTTGAGAATCACCACTTTAAGGTTTTTGATGGTAGTCCCCGTAGAGCCAGCTCTCTTTACTCTCTATATTAAACTTTACCTGGCTTCCTGTTATAGCACTTTCTGCACTAACAGAGTACTTTTATATGTCTTTTCCCAGAAACCACATTTAGATGTTTAGCAAAAGCCAAAGAAAAGTCTGATTTTCGTATCTGTCCTAAATACTGTTTATAAAGTAGTGTGTAATATTGGACCAATAAATAGTTCATCATGATGGGACTAGGAAAACATTAATCCTTTTAAAACATCTGGAATTATTAATTATAACAAAAACTGATTATTTCTTTGATGTTTTGATATTTCTAACTTCAATTTAATTCCAAGGACAGCAAAGCATAAATAATCTCTACCATTAAGTTGTATTTGGAGCAAACCATATGGAAGCTTCTAACTCAGTAATGTTTTTCACATATCCATAGGTCCAATATTTGGTTTTAGACTATTGTCTAATCCAAGGCATTTCTTGCTTAGAAGATGATATTTGCAACATTGCAAATTTTAAGTATGGCCCTTGGAAGCAAAACACCATAAGGGTCTAGGAAATTGTCAAATTCTTTCCCATACCCAAGGTTTGACTTACTGGAATCTACCAATAGATTCCAACTTACCATTGTGGTTCTCTCAGGTTGTCAAATGAAAGAGTATTTTCTAAACCTATTTTCTGATTTTCCTGACATGGTAGTCTTAGAGAAGAAAAGAGAATAAATAAATAAATGAATAAATAAATAAATAAATAACACTATCTCATAGAACTTCAGTTTGAAATGAGTCTAAATCAATTGCATAATGCAAGTCTAACTTAATAACATCTGATCTCTTCACTTTCATCTACCCTATTTTTTATACCAGTTTGCATTTAAACGATAAAGTTAAGACCTGGAGAGAGAAGGTTTAATACAAACTGAACCTGCAGAGCTTCAGATAGTTCTAAAATGGAAATAGAGAAAAGTTCACCAGGCAGTTACCCCATAGTGGTGAAAAGCCTATCCTCTTGGCTGAAGGTAGACCCGACCATTCAAGTGATGGAATAGGAGAGAACAAAAAAGATACCAGAGATTATTTCGTATTTTTTAATGGTTCTCAAAACAGCAGCATTTTCTTCTCCCACAGGACATTAGGCATTGTCTGGAGACATCTTTAGTTGTAAAAACTAGGGGATGAGGTTTACTACTGGTATCTAGTGTGTAGAGGCCCAGGTTGCTGCTACACATTCTGCAGTACACGGGATAGCTTCCCCATAACTTCTTGTTTTCAGACATAAGAAACTGAGGTACTGAAAAAAAATAATATCCTTGTCTTCTAAATATTCTTTAGCAAAGTTGTTTCTCCATTTTCTTTGAGCAGCATGTGTGAGAATCAAGACATCAGGAGTCATGATTTAGAACAATGGTTCTGAACAAATATTTTAGAGTCTTTCAAGTTCAATATTTACCTTCCCATTTAACGACTGTGTGACAGTAGACAAAAAATTTGGCCTCTCTGGCCCTTTAGTTTTCTCATCTGTAAAATGGGGTTAATTCCTCTCATAAAGTTATTTATGAACACAATTGTGATAATGTGGAAAGAGGATAATATAGTCCTCAGTACATGGTAGGCACTCAGTAAGTGATAAATATTAATAAAATATTAAAATACAGTAAGTGGTAAGCATTATTACTTTTTAAAATAAAATGTGCAGTCCCCGTATTGGTGATGCTTGCGTATGTGTTCTACATGCTCTACCATGTGGAATGCAGTAACCTGCCTAAAACAGGGTATTGTTTAGAGGCGAAAGTTTTGTGTTAGAAGTTTTAAAGTCAAATCAAGAAAATCATTTTTCAAGGGGTATTAGCTGTAATATCTATAGTAAATCAACTGCATCAAACTTTATTAATTATTTCTCAGAGCAGAAAACCTACAACACATTTTGATTAGATTAAAACAAAATGCTGACCATCAAGCTTTCCGGACTCTCACTGTTTCTTTGTTCACCCAGCATGCAATGTTAGAGGAGGTCCACGTTGCTCCTGATTATGTGGTGCTGTCTTTTGTGTCAGCATCATGAATAATACCACCCCATTTCTTATCAAGAATGTCCCTTCTTTTCAACTGTAATTCTATAGTTATTTTTTTTTCCAAGATCAAGCACTTATAATCAGCTAAGTGTTGTTGGCTGCTCTGGGAAAATCGGAGTGGGATTAAATTTTTCACCTTCCTCTGGTGATTTCCTAAAGGTGGAAGGAGTGTGTCAGATTTTTGAAAGTGATTTTTGAACACATGCTCTGTCCTGAGGTCAGGCAGGGTTGAAAACGGGAAGCCTGCCTAGGTGGGAGCCCAGTGTTGATTCAGCAGATACTGCCGCATTTTTTTTCAGCCTCTTTTCTGTATTAGCTTCCCTTACGTTTTTGTTTTAATAAGTGAATTTGCAGCTCTTAAAATAATTTCCATCCTGTCATTTCATCGACGTAAAAGCCTATGTGCCTAAAGAAGGTGAAATAGACAAGGTCGCATAGCAAGCATTTAAAAGTTCTGATCTGGATTTTTCTATCCTTCTCCAGTGTATATACAAGTGTGCTGGCAAATAAAAAATAAATAAATAAAAAACAAACAAACAAAAACTGAAAAGTTAATTCCATGTTAGTTTATATATTCCAACTCAGTTGATTTCACCTGAAAAATCCCAGCTACCTGCACATGAAAGTTTATAAGCAAGTGTCACTTTCACAGTTGTCTTCATTCGACAAGTAGTACTGTACCAAGATTTTAAAAATAAAATTTAAACCAACATGAGATCTACTGAATATTTTTTCCAAAGTGTCCTTTGAAGTAGTTTAAACATGATCTTTATTCTAATGCTAGGAGAGTCTTTCCTATGTTCTCTTGCATTCTTCTAGTGGTGTGTGTGTGCATGTGTGTGTGTGTGTGCGTGTGTCCTAATGGAATTTGCTTTTGATTGATTTCACCCACTGTTCCTGCCCATAGCTTTAGGTTTCAACTCCCCTTACTTTTCTTTTAAGCTTTATATTGTTTCCTTGTTTATTTTTCTGCCAAATACTAAAAACATGTATATTTGAGAATCAAGTTATTCTTACCTTTTTACCACCATGGTACTTACACATATCAAATGCACCTGCAGCCAACAGTTTTCTAACTAAAGCTGCACCACAGAGATCTCCATTTAAGAGTGTTCTTTATTCTGCATTCGTGGGTGCTGTGACTCTTTGTGTTGTCTTTATCCATTGTGCGTAATCTTTTCTAATGCAAAGCCACTAAGATACTTTCAATCAATTTACTTCTACTGCTTGGAATTTGATGTTTTTTTTAAAAAACAAAACATTTTTTAAAAACTTACTCAGATTCTCATTCTCTGTTAGCCTTGATCTAAAGGATTTCTAAAGACCAGTAGCATTTATCTATATCCAATTTACTTTAACCATCAGGCCTAATCTAGTAGCATCAATCGACTTAATTAGCACATTCTCTACTTTGTCTTCCAGATTTTTTATAAAGATATTAAACAAAATGGGACCCAATATCGATCCTTGTGGGACCCTACTGGAAACCTCTCCCCAACTAGACGGACTACCAATTACGATTTCTCTCTGTATACGGTTAGATAGCCAGTTTTTAATCCATTTATTTGTATTTCTGTTGGGGCCAATTTGTTTAGCTGTTCCCTTAAAAAAATGTGTGGGGTCTTTGCGGATAACCTATGAACATGTGTCCACAGAGTCTTGGGGATAAGTTAAAATTTTTTCAGGAGACCTTTGTGGGGCTTTCCTAGGTTTAGTTTTTCAGTATAGCTTTGGTGAACCTAAGCTTTGGTGTTTCGCTCAGGAATTATTGTTGTGTTAGGGAAAGAAATTAAATGGATCGTATTTTGAGAATTCTTTTCATTTGTCCTGAGAGGATAAGAGTATCATTATTTCTTAGTTTTGTTGTTGTGCTTGGTTTTTTTCAGATGCTTTGGATTGAGTAGGTGGAGACTTAATCATTCCTTTTGTTGGTTAGCTCAGAATTCAGAAATTTGTCTACATTGCTAACTTGTGTCTAAGAATGTTACGCTTGCATCAAGTCCTTGTTGATTTCTTGTTATTTATTTTACAAATAGGTATTGTATTGGCAGACTCATCATTACTATAATGACAGATAAAAGCCAATAATTGACATTGTTGTTTACCAAAACTCTTGACTTAAATGAACTCTAAAGAAAGCCTGTTTTTGACTCATAGTTTAGTTTCTGAATCCTCATGTGTTGGTGATCTTAATTGGCAAGTTGTCATTCATATTGCTTTCCAAATTGAAGGAGGAAAAAGATAATTGTCACCATTCCACACTATCATCTACTACTTGTTCAACTCCAGTGTTTAGCAAATGATATTGGATATTCGTGAATCTGTTCTATGAGGACTTGATGCCAGAAGTGCTTCCATTATTATATATTCTAAGTATAAGGCTCTCCTTTAATTTTGTGGCTTTGACTCCAGAATCTTTAATACATCATTGTTGTTGCCTTTGGGGTAGGGGACAAAATGGATAAGCTACTGAATTGCTTCTTTGTTCTGGATTTTGTCACTTTCTGACTTCATTACTTGTGTTATATAGTAGCAAAGTCTAGTAAATAGTAATAATTACATTACAGAAGAGATGTTTGAAATTTTGTTAATCACTATTTTTTGTTCCAATCCCCTAAACATTCCATCACCTACTATGTCTGTGCTCTCAGACTATCTCATTTATGTTGTTGCTGCTGTCCTTATTTTTTAACTTTAGTTACTCTTGTTGAAATTAAAGTAGACTGATTTGATTGGGCATTATTCTGGGTCAATTGTTAATTATGTAGAAGAAAATATGTATGAAAGTTGGATTTATGATGAAAATGATTGAAGAAGGCTGTATTTCTGAAAACCAAAATCAAACACACTACATGATTGTTGTAAAGACTGCATAAAACCACATGAAAATTCAGGATATCCTCAGATGATGAGGATATTTTGAAAATTTGCTCATTGGCGCATTAAATTGTTCAGTTGATGGCTTGAAAGAGTTAATACTCTCTTATCCTATGATTCGAACACTAATTTGTTAAGACTTCTTCCTCTATCTCATAAAGTGTCATATTAACAAAAATGTTCAATGAAAATGAATTTTATAAATTGAAATATGAATTCTAATGTCTTTTGTTTTTATACTTTTTTATGTTGGGTATGTCTTTCTGCTGTCCTTTGAGTCTTCTTTTAGGTTCACACTATGAAATAAGGTCTAGTATTTGAAAGTTCAAATAACGAGCTTTCTAGTAAACTTGTAACCTGTAAGAGCATCAAGATATATGTCACAATTGCAAAAGGTACTGGGAAGAATAGTGGATTTTATGGTTATATGTACTGGGTTTATATTCAGGCATTGTCATTTATAAGCTGTGTGACATTAGACATGTTTAACCTTTCCAAGCTTTAATTCCTCAATTGAAAACTAAAAATCTAATTTCTGTCTTATAGAGCTGCTGAGAAGAATAAGTGAAATAATTATACTAACAGCCTTATGTAGTACCAGGCAAAGGACATTCAAATAATAGTTGTAATTATTCTGGAGATGGTGGCAGGGATTGTGTATCTTTCTTAGATTTTATTTAGTTCTATAGCTATTTTTCTGATTATAAAACAAATTCATGGTAGTTCTTAAATTTACACAAAAGATAGTGAAAATCACCTGCACACTCCCACACAGATATAATCATTATCAACATTGCCTTTTATTCACATTTAATGACATATTTTTATATAAAAATCATATTCTAATCTTCTATATACAGTTATTTCCTAATTACCTTTTCATATCTTTAAGTATAAGTATACACCATTTCTAATAGCTATAAGATATGTAATTGAATGGTGTGCCATAATTTATTTAACATATATTCAATGAGCACCTATTGTTTGATGTTTGCATTGTTTCTAAGTGGTTTTCCATTATAAACAACTATAAAATCAACATCACATTGCTGACAGGTTTACACACCATTGTTCCTGATATATTTCTTAAAATTGATTTGCTAAGTTCAAAGATATATGACTCTAAAGTGGTGATATATATTGTCTGCTTGTTCCCTAGGAAGGTTCTATAGTAGTTTACATACCTAATAGCCATCTGAGAGTGTGGTAGTACACACACACACATACAAACACATACACACAGTGTATATGCACACAATTACCTTGCACTCCCATAAATGAGGAAGAAACAGAAAACATGTTTAACTTGGTCCAATTGTGATAAATGCTGGAAAAGAGGAGAGAGAGAAGAATCCAAAGTCCCGTGTGTAGTATCTATCCTCTCTTTCCAAAAGCCACAAATAATAAAATGGCAATAGAAAAACAAAATAAAAACTATCAATACCCATCTCAAACTGAGGCTCTGCAAAGATGCAGAGATGCATAAGCAGGTCCAGTAATTAGTGCAAGCAGAATCAAAAGAAATCTATCTAAATTTTAATTGAACATATGGAAAACCCAGAAGCAATGTCTCCATCAAGACGAAGCATCTAAACAAAGAAACAGTGTGACAACTAAGTGAGAAAACTACCACATGGGGAAGACAAGGAGAAGACCTCAATATGCAAAAGACAGATAATGACCTTTATATTTTTAAAAAGTATATTCTGGCCGGGCGCAGTGGCTCAGGCCTGTAATCCCATCACTTTGGGAGGCTGAGGCGGGCGGATCACTTGAGGTCAGGAGTTCTAGACCAGGCTGGCCAACATGGTGAAAACATGTCTCTGCTAATGATACAAAAAATTAGCTGGGTGTGATGGTGGGCACCTGTAATCCCAGCTACTAGGGAGGCTGAGGCAGAAGAATGCTTGAACCTGGGGGCTGGAGGTTGCAGTGAGCTGAAATCACGCCACTGCACTCCAACCTGGACAACAGAGCAAGATAATATCTCAAAAAAAAAAAAAAAGAGTGTATTTCAAGATACTAAAAATGTGTTTAAAAGTATCTCAAAAGTATATTTAAAAAGTATATTTCAAGATAAATGAAAACATCCTGTAACAAAATATTTTCTCACCAAAATTGAAAGAACATGTGAAACAAAAATCAAAAATAAAATAATAAACAAGAAGAGATTAAAAGAGGGAAAACGAAAGCAAAGCAATCCTTATAGAAACTAACAAATCAATCTAAAACAGTAAGAAAGATAATCAGTTGGGCCAAAAAATCAAGGCAGTAACACAAAGTTCAGGTTGTAGTAAATCATGCCAAATGCAGAGGAAAAGGTTTTATAGATAAAAATCTCTCAGAAGAAGCATAATAAATATACAGAACAGGTACTGTGGATCAACCATGCAGAACCTTAATGTTAGCGAAGAATGGAAAACATGGAATAGAAAAAAATATTTAAGTCTAATGTCAGAATCTAATTATAAAAATGCTGATAATAATAAACACTTCTTCACTGGGCACAGTGATTCACACCTGGAGATCCCAGCACTTTGGGAGACTGAGGCAGGCAGATCACTTGATCCTAGGAGTTCAAGACCAGCCTGGGCAACGTGGTGAAATCCTGTCTAGAAAAAATAGAGAAATTATCTGGGTATGGTGGCACATGCCTGTAGTCCCAGCTACAAGGGAGGCAGAGGCAGGAGAATTGTTTGAGCCTCGAAGGTGGAGGTTGCAGTGGGCCAAGACTGCACCACTGCTCTCCAGCCTGGGTGAAAGAGGGAGACTCTATCTCGAAATATTAATAATAATAACAATAATAAACTCTTCTTGAATACCTACTACGTGCTTAGACAATTTACATATATTACGTCAGTCTTTATTATTACCCCATATTGTTATCATTATATTCTTATGAGTAGTGAGCTGAGACCCGCAGAACATGATTAATTTTCTTAATATCAGGTAGCTAAGCAGTGGTTGAACAGAAAATATGACTACAGAACCTACATACTTAACTACTATGCTGTACATTCTGTGTTTGTACATATATGTAATGAAAGTAATTAATCTCACTAATTACCAGGTTGTTCCCTGGAAAAGTTTTGCTGTACCTATTAGCACCATTTGAAATTAATTAATAATTGTATTTATTAATTTATTTACAGGTATGTATAACAAGTTTAAAAGGATGTAATGGGTTCCAAGATTAAAAATTATACAACGTATTTAACTACTTATTATATTCCTCTGAAATTACTGAACTTCCAGTAAGAAAAAGTGAATGCCCTACAAGGAGAAAAGAAAGTTAGCTTTTAATATACTCCACAGAAGTATTAAATATTGTTAGACAATGGAAAATGTCTTAAAAGTTTCTGAAGGGGAGAAAGTATAACCTAAGTTATTACTATTGATTCATAATGACAAATGAAAGATACTTTATCCTCAATTTGCAAGGCATTAAGGAATAGCATCTATGAGTCCTTATTTGTGGGAAATAATATTGTAATATAACAATCTAGACTCAAGTAAAAGGTAGTCAAAATTAGGAACTTTGGAACAGGAAAGACCGGTATGCTAGCATTTAGAACTAAAGATAATGTGTAGAACCTGCACGTTATGCACATGTACCCTAGAACTTAAAGTATAATACTAATAATAATAATAATAATAAG